AACCCAAGATATGCACAATCTAAAGTGAATTCAAGAGCTTAGTAAGAACAGTGGTGTAACCCAGAACCAAATGGAAGGTTGAGAAGAAATTTTTTATGCTTCCATATAATTTGTATAGGTTTAATAAGACAACAAAGTGCTTGTTTTGTAACATTATATTGTTTAAATTGATGTACTTTGTACATCCTGCAGCTGGTTTTAATGAATGGGGTTAAAATGGATAACAGTGTCAAAATATCAGCTATACCACAGTAACCTAATTGGGGTGGCGTATATGCTAGGTTGTAGGGCAGTCAATATTTGTGATCCACTATAGAAAAAGATAAAAGCACCTGCTTGACTAAATGATGACCCAATAATGAACACAATGATAGTCATAAAAATCTGCACCCAGCACAGACTACTAAATGAGATATTGTAAGAAAAAAAAATGGAAAGAGGGAAAAGTGGGAATGAGAAAAGCCTGTAGTAATACTATGCTATAGTGACTGTTCAACATCACCTTACAAGGCAGTAAGAGCAAGTCAGCATAGAGGAGTTTCAAGGTCCTGAGGAATAGGGCACTTTCTTTCTTTTTTTTCCTTTTTCCTTTTTTGTATTTTATTTCAGAATAGCATGAGCATGACTGCAGTTTGTCTGTAACAGTGCATACTAACGGAACAGATTGAAATTTATTATGGCAAAGATTGCAAAGATATAAGACGTTTACAAGATTGTCTTCCAGCACTCCCTGCTTTGATATTTGTAGCTATTAGAAATACTTTAAGTATTCAGTGTACAGTTATAATGCTAGTGAAACTTGCACTTCCTGTAAGATAAGGAGCAGTGCTTTTGTGCCACTGGCTTTAATTCCCAGATTAATCCGAAACAAAATCCCAGGAATGTAACTCATATTGATGATGTACACCAGTTCTGCTTGGGGTTTATGAGTGCTGTTATAATACAAACAAGTCAACTAGGAGGCATAAGATACTGTACAAAACCTAGAACTGTACTAGCAAGGAATACATTGTGCAAAGACAATTCCATGGAAGGATGTCATCAGTTTATTCTGTAGTAGCATGAGGTTGGGTTCCTCATGCTTAAATTCAGCAATGAGCCAGGTGTTTTCTCTGTATTCTCCTGTCTCTCTCTGCAGCAATGACGAGAGAGGCAGTTTAAGAAAATCAATTACATCCTTCTGAAACGTCTGACTTAGGCTGCATTAGCTCCTGTAGTAGTCACAACACCCTTTCAGTCCCTGAACGCCCAACTTCCCTGACTCAGGTAGGACAGACCTGGCAGCCCCTGATCACCAAGCAGGGTCACAGTGTTCCAGCAAGCACTGAGGGAAGGCTAAGCAGTCAGCAGAAGCTGGTGGAAAGATGCAACATGCAGCAAAGGTCATGTGTCTAGCAAAAGAGTGAGATAGAGTGCACCTACAACTTCTGTAGGTTTATATCTATATTTATTTATATTTTATAGATTACATATTTATATATATATTTATATATTCATCATCATCATCATCATCATGGCTAGGCTTCGCGAACGAAGATTTGAGAAGGGCTCTACCCACGCTTGCTACAAGCGCGCTGATGGCTAAAAAGGCCAATGCGAGATAGATTTATATATTATATCTATATTTATTTATATAACCTTTCCTCAGAGCCACCTCCATACTCTCCATTTAAAGTGGCAAGGCCACTCTTTTCTGCAACCTGCACCTAACACATATGTTGTAAAATCCCCAGAATTAAAGTATAAAAGGAAGGATTTTTTTGCTTCAAAAATATACCCTTTTTAATTAAAATTCAAATGACAAAGAACCATACTACTGGAGAGGCCTGTTCCTCTCTTGAGTGCAGACTGAGTTATAATGAATAGCCCTGTGTCTCAATTTTTATTAGGATCATAGGGATGATTAAGTTAGAGATCGTAAATCTTGTCCTCAGTGCCCACCTCTCTCCTATGCCCTCCCCGACCCAGACTAAAGGAGTAAATCCTCCAATCTTCTGAGCAGAGAGCTATACTGCAATAAGTCTTTGCCTGGGCACCATGGGATAAGAGAGGTTCTATATACACTTGTATACAAACCCACTGCCCAGCACAATGCACATCTTTACGGCTGTTTGTCCCAAGTGGATTTCTAAGCCAGTCATATTTAGTGTTATTCGAAAATTCTGTACATGTACAGAATGTATTGCAACTGTCACAATTACCAAAGGGAAGTAGCTGGAAAACTTCTCATTAAAAAACAAAACAAAAAACCCCAACCAACAGCAGAATCAACTTTGTTGCTTTCTAACAGATTTTAGGAGAGTGGATATAATTGCATTCACCTAAAATATGTACAGCAGAGATTTCAAAGCTGGTGTTGAGAATCCCAGTGAAGAGTGGCATTTTGCTGGTATTTACTACACTCTCTCACCACAAACACTTACTGGAAACCCTGGAGGCAAATATAAGACAACAGGGTGCAGGAGGGAGAACAGCTGCCTTTACCTCGCTGCCTCCACAACTGTATCACACAAGAAGAACTCTCCCGCCTCAGCTTTCAGCCAGGTACAAAAACAGGTGCTGTAAAGCACAACTGCTGCTTGGCACTGAATGATCTCCCAAAACACTGCCATTCCTGTTACACCTCGAATACTGTCAATTCCACTCTCACCTTGAGCTATTCACCCAGCTCCAACTGCACTGGTTCTGGGCTGTCATGCAAACATGCCAAGAAATTTCCCTGTGTTCCTGTGTCCATCTACTCCTATTTCAGCTGACTAACATTTCTAAAAGGTAGAGCAACCTTAAACAAGGGTTAAGGTAGTCGCAGTGCAGATTGCCTGCTCATCCATAATGTAGAACTACAGACTAAAAAAAGACTTAGGCTCCAAGCACTCCAATATTGGCACAGGTGATTTATTGAAGTACTGCTTCTGCAGTGAAACTCAGATCCTATCAATACCAAGCTGAGCTGATTTCATCTGAGAAGCAAAGAATCCATTTATAGGTATGACTTCAAATTAAGACGTAATGCCAAATTTCCATTTAGTTCCCACATTTTCTTCTAAAATATCTTCACTTCAGAGTTCACATAATTATTCTTGCCTAATTTCAAAAAAATCCCACAAAAACAAACCAAAAATCCGAAACAAAAAACCAACAAAGCAGACTAAGTTATGTATCAGATTTCAACAGAGCAAAATACATACAAATGAAAAGAATGTGTAAAAAAATCAAAATGTTAGTAAACAACCATTTTGTCAGCAACAGCTTTACTGATGTTTAGAAAGTTAATACATAACAGTCAGATAATTAATAGTCCTCACACTCTGTAAATACCTCCTGTGGCATCCTCCTTATACATTGCTTCAGAGTACCAGCCTGGATAATCCTTCCTGAACACAGCTCAGCTCCCTGATCCTTTCCTTTGCAATATGTCTCCATAACCTTTGAGCACCTCTGCCATTTCTCTGATGCACTTCTTCACATTCCTTTGAAGGTCTCACAGTTTCATAATTATTTAATTTCTTGCTTCAAATATCTCTTTTTTTTCCCCTTCTGGAATCCCTATTAAGAACATGACTTCTCACAAATATATAGCATACTGTAATATAAACACAAAGTGTACCAAGACCTCTGCCTGTTCTGTGAGCAAGCCTGCCTCACTGTGCCCTTGCAGTCTTTCATTCAAGTCTACCTGGACTATCTTATCCTAATGCTTAATCCAAAAATATTTCCTCATTCTATGTTTGTGGGCACTTTGAAGAACCATTGTCCGAGACTGTGGCCTAAGAATTAGCAGACACATATAAAAATAGCATGGAAAAATACCATAAATAAGAAAAAATAGAAGGCTGAGGAAAATCAAGAATTGGAATTGGTGAAGTGCTGTAGCAAGTCTTAATAGGACAGACCCTGCATATTTATTTATTCTTTCATTTGTCTACTAAGCCTATATGGAAATTATTGATGCTAGTAGTAGCTGGTGGCTGGCAAGCTGAGTTCAGGTATCCTGAACTGAAAAACAATAAATGGAAGGAAAAGCCATAAGCACATAAAGCTCCCAGATTTAGAAGTTACAGAAGGGGGTAGCAAGAGTTCTATGCATGTAAGCTTTTGCTGAAATCAGTGGAAGCTAGTCTTTCAAAGAAAGCTAAAGGTCAGGTATTTATGATCAAGTCCAAAAGTTAATGAGCATGAAACCTACAGCAGTACTGATAATTTGTTTTTAGTCAATATCATCATTTGAACAAAAACATTCTGAATGCAAGCTTTTAGCAGCAGCAGTATAACTTCTAAAAATACATTTATTTAACAATGCTATATTATGAGAACATAAAATTTTAATGAATACGCAAATGAATAGTGCAAAGACATCCTGTGATGTGTTATCTAAAAGCTCCTCAACTTGAGCACTAATAATAAGCTTAGTGAGCTATGAATTCTTCAATGATTAACAATATAATAAAGTACTGTTCTCATTTGGAGACAGCAGCTATTGCTAAACTAATAAATATTACTTTATCAGTATAAAAGATCTACCAGTTGACTTCAAAGTTGAGAAAAGGATAGATAAAATTTCTATTATCTTTTCTATGAGAAAACTGATGCACAATCCAGTAATGTAGGAGAAACAGACCTAAAGTCTCATAATCTTCAGTGCAGTGTCCTGTCCCAGGGAGCCACGTTCATAACACCAACTGCTTTTAAACACTACTGTTAATGCTATACCAAAGGATTCATATAATAGAGCCCTTCAGATATGCTGGAAATACTTTCCAGTAGAGAAGTTTAGAAAGGTTACTAAACTTCAGAAATATTGCCCTTACTGTGGAGTACAGTAGGAACCTCCATTTATAACGGGAGGGCAGAGAGCACCAGTTCAAGGCAGACACTTACCCTGAAGACGCTGCATGACATTGGCAATGTCTCTAGATCTTGTGACTAGTCGGGATGAAGCCATGATCTCTGCGCCACAAGTCCAGTTCCCCTGAGAGAAATCTCCCTCCAAGCTGTGGAGCTCAGTGAGATGAGGATCTTGGACTGCTTCCGTTTTTGCATTCAACCCTCAGCCGTGTCACAGCATCCCTGGGGCAGTCAGATGCCTCCAGTCCAATGCTGGCCCTCATAGGACCAGGGAAAACAACCTCAGCACCTGAGAAAGAAAGTATCAAGATTTAGAGGAAACTTACCGGCTCAGCAGAACTAAGAAGTCTGAGCCTTAATAGTTATCTTAACAGATGAAGAGTGGTATGTTTTGCCCATAGTGTACACCCCAGCCAGAGATATAATTAATGCTAAAAGCTTGCTTGGCAATCATCAAGCAGAATGAAGCTGCAAAAACAAATCATTAAACACAATTGGCAATGCACCAGACATAAATCCTTTCCTGAGGATGCTTGTGGATGTTGTTTTAGAAATAACAATAATGTTACACTTATTAAAAGTAATAACGTGATATTTCTTAACATAAGTAATATTAGGTATAAAAGAGAAAAAATTGAACCACTTGTAAAATGCAAAAGCCGTACAACTCTCATTCTATTTCACCATGCTAGGAAGGGGCACGTAACAAAAACTCATTGATCAGGACAATTCCTAACTCCACTGGCCAGTGTAGTCTAATCTGAAAGACTGAGATTGACATATTTCATTATTAAATAAAATTGTATTTACATTAATTTTTCTAGTGTGTGATGATGCTGTATTTTGGGTCACTTAACATCAAAATCTGTGAAGTAGAACTGCTACACGAACATAACACTTTTGTAACTATGTGATTATAAAATTGGTCTAAAAAAAAAAACAAATTAGATTCTTCAGATAACCTATCAATAACATCTTATTTTCTGAAGAACAAGGACATGTTGTGTATGTATGCACCAGCTTCCCTGATAAGAAATACCTGAGTATATACACACCAAGAATAATTGCACTCATACCACACAAACTGGGCCAATCCCAAATTCAAGAGGCTAGGTAGCTGATCAATATCACAAATGTGAGTGAGTTTATTAGTGGTGTGCACTTTCCTCTTTTCCTGGCCCCAAGGTCTGTCAAAGAAGAGTGTTCCATTATTAGGCAGACAAGCCTTTAGGCTGCACAGCTTTTGGCCCTATGAAATATCCCAAAGGAGCTGTGTCAACATGTAAGAGCTGCCAGAGGAAATTACATTTCAACATTTCCTTTTCTGGCTCTTCAAACCATGCCTGACCCAAGGAACTTCCTGCTTTCCCTCTTACTGATGTTTTTATTGTATGTTTACATTGTATTTTGGATACGTAAATGCTGCTCAGCTTAACAGATCGAAACTGGCTTTAAATCAGTGAAACTGAGAGAAGCACACTTTTCATGGACAAGGGTGCAGAACAGACCACAAAGTCCACTCATATGCTTGGGTTGTGCTCTTGCATGCCATGGCCACAGTGGTACTAATACCTACTCCAGACACATTGCTATTTTTGTATACGTCTGCACTTTGCATGACACCTGGATGCTCATATCCTCACTCTCTTCCCACATGTGTCTTCTCTCTCCTTCAGGGACCTCATTCTCTTCCTACTCCTTCCCACCTTCCAGGCTCTGCTCCACATGCTTCTCAGGATGCACAGAGACTATGCACATCAGTCACCATTTCCCAAGCACGGAAAGGCACCCTGGCAGGTGGGAACCTCGCTCTTGTGACACAGGCACGAGAAGGTGACACCATCACACCTCTCAGCTACAACATAGGCTGGGGCTGATGGCCCTCACTGTTGCTAAATCACTAGAGAGAGCATTAGCAAGAGCACACCAAACAGCACCTGACCAGGTAGATGCGGGGCTGGTGGAGGTTTTCTTATGCTCACATGTCAGCTTGGTGAACTTTGCTTCCTCTGTAATATTTCTATGAAACATCAGCTTGTCTAACCCCATCCAAACCAGAAATATTTATAACACAAAGAGTTAAATGTAGCCTTGTTCCTGCAGCAGTGGCACTGCTAACATTTCAAACAGCACTGTAAGTGAGGTACAGCAACTTCTAATAGCAAGCTGCTAAACTAATTTTTAGGCAGGGATAATGGGCATTAAAAATGCCTTGTCTGATTGTTTTTGGCTAATAGAAATAATATCAGAATACCAGCCCACTCACACCGTGATGGAGCTGGTGTAAATCAGCTGTACATGAACAGATTTAGAGGAGCTGTGGAAGATCCTGATCCAACTCCAAGTTAAAAGCGTATCAGAAATTGTTATGAAGATATATGCTCAATCTACTCATACAGCAGCCTGAGTCACTACACAGCAATAAATGGAAGACGTGCAATTAATAATTTATTTAGCTGATATTAAATTATATGCTTCATAGGAAGAACATGCATTTCTAAATATAACTCCTCATTCAAAAGCTCCTTTGCAAGCAGTGGGAATTAACCCCTTTAAAGATGACACTAAGTTAGGAAAGAAAGATTCACGTGTGCACAGTCACCTTCACAGGCAGAGAATCACAGCTCATAGCACAGCAAAACATCAACAGAATAGATGAAACAAATCTTCCCATACCCTTCCCATGTGTCTTCAGCCAACATCTAAAGCTCCACAGAACAAAAAATCCTACATGAACAATCAAGTGTTCAATGTAATGCAGAGGGAAAATTTTTCATGATTTCTACAAGTAGGTAAAGCCTTCAACAATTTTTTTTCTAACTGAGAGACTACTAAATCTTTAAATATCTGCACAGCTGCTACACAAAATAATTTTTCATAAATGGAATGACTTTTCAATTTCAGTGTGAGACACAAAGATGTGTCTTCAGATGGATGTTTTCAAAATACACAAATTTTTACAAAGTGCATGGCTTAAATCCCATAAATCTTAGCTTGAAATAAACCTGAAGGACTATATAAGCTATTCCCTGTTGTAGCATTCAACAAGTGATTATTCAACATTATAAATTACTATTTTTTTTGGTCTGAACATATATGGAATGAAGATGAATTTCACAAGAGTGAAATGGAATGGTTTTGCATATAAATTAGATAAATCTTTTATTACATTTGCCACTTATCTGGATTAAACAGATAAAGTTACACTGATACCATTTTCTTATATTAATAACCTGGTACTCTGGTTTTGGAAAAGAGGAAATGTGAACTTCTTCTCTCATATAATAACCATTTGGCTTCAAATCCTCTTCAAATGCCAGAAAAGTGGGATGTCTCTTATACAGAATAGGTAAGAAAAACACTACATCTATTGTGGGTTAACTTTTCTGGGTCCCTCATGTAATCCTCTTTTTCTCACTGTGCTCAGGAGTACTTTGAATTTAAAAAGTTAATATATATTTCTTTTATTGGTAAAGCTAGAATACCACTGGCAAGACCATGTTGTATTTTATCTTTTATCTCTTAAATTTTATAAAACATACTAAAGGAAAACAGATCTGCCTGTCAACAGTATGGTTCCAGAAAAACGAAGAGATATCCGCTAGATGCATGCAACATATAAGATGTGCAACATGGCTGAAGGTAAATCTGACCAAAAGAAGGGTAAACAATTCTCCAAATGTAGTTCATGTTGGTACAAACTGCAGATTCCAGATGACCTCACCAGTGGTCCCTTCCAACTCTAATCACTCTGTGATTCTTTGATTCCCACTGCACTGGGTTGATATATAGCAGCCAGGAGAAGAAGCTACTGATGTAAAAGCATGGTTGTACCTGAAAATACAATTCCAGGCTTCTATAAACTCCAATTATAGCAGCAATAGATAAAGAAACTCCAGACAAACAACAGTAAACACGGATAATAAGTAAAGATATTGATGAGAGCAAGAAAGGACTGTGGCAGACAGTGAAAGGACTGTTTCTGATCTAGCACATTTCAAAAACAGATATTTGAGAGGACAGTAAGCAGAGTAATAAATTCAAGGAACTCCTGCAGCTAGAAGTCATTTTCAAATCAGATGTTACATAGATGTAAGAAATACAGTGGAATAACTACAGTAACTACAGCACATGGACTGAACAGAATCTCAGGAATAGCAGAAATAAGGTCAAGTGCTGGGGTGAACGAAGAGGCAGACTTTCCTGGCAAGCAAGTTCCAGTTGCATGGAATTGACCAATTAAAAAAAAAAAAAATCAGGAAAAGAATTTCTGAGCATGGTTTACTGCTATAGTGCAAGAAGTCCACTTCAATGAACAGGTTTAGATTCTGAAATGTAAGAGGTCTTGGAAATGCAGCCAGGGTGATAGATGCTGCTGGAAGGGATGTAATCCTATGAGAAAGCAGTGAGCCTCATGCCAGTCAGGAATAAATGATTCACATAAAGGAAGGAACCAGCATTTTTAAATATCAGATAGTCACAGAACCAGCTATTTTAGTTTGGGTTTTATTAGTTAGTAGTGGGAAAAAATGGTAATCATAGAAAATAGCTCTGATTAAGGACATGATTTAGGTAATCCAAAATATTGCAAGAATAACTCAATGTAAGCAGGTTGGAATATAATCTAAAGAGACAGTGTTTAAAAAGTAAAAAAAAAAGAGGAATCAGTACAGAACTCAACTAGACTGAAAAGTACAGTGTCTCCCCTGTGAAGCAGGCTGGGGTTTTCTTTAAGGTATAGTTTTTTTCCAAGGTCTAGCAGCTGCATACCTATGCAGGGCAGAATAAAACTGCTCCAGACATAATTGGAAAAGCCATCACTTAGACATAAGCAGGCAGAAACAAAGGATGAGAAGTGAAGAGCACTGCCATAGTGTTTACTGTCTACCTGGAAGAAGAGAGGCCGAAAGGCCATTTGAGAAATAAAGACAGCAAACAAATGGTTCTTAGCCAGGTAAGTAAAACGAAAGTATAAAATAAAATAAAGAGGAGATTAATTTGCCACAGTTAATACTATACTGATTTTTCCACTGAAGACATTTCTGATAGACAAAGGCACAACAAAAAATGGAAGCAGCACCATCTGAAATGAAATCAAATTTAAAAGTGGAAAAACTCAATAAAATCCATTCCAGAATATAGATAACTTGTAGATCATAAATTGAGAATCCATTTGTAAACTTATTTGAATAAATCTATCAAGTTGCAGTTAATGCCTACTGGATATACTAAAATTAGGAGCTAGGACAAAGAAGTGAGGTAGCGTGATTCAAAAAGATTCTTAATACTATCCTCAGAGAAAATGCGGTATCTCCTCACTGATCTTCCAAAATCTAGGTCAACAGAGGAGTCCCTTTGGTAATTGTTTCTGATGGCTGAACTGCAAATCTGTAGTTGTTAGCTTAAACCCAATGCAGCAGAATTCAGTGGATACTGGAACTTTCCCAGGTCCAATAGGACATAAGAGTGCACCACATAAGATCATGGAAAATGTGATTTTGGGTCTGAAAGGTGTTTTCAATAGTTGAATCCAAACATTATCACTCTGTGCTTCCTTTCTCCACTATGTGGATTGCTTTTGAATAGAAAACCATGGAAGAAGAGACAAACTATGACCTTTGACAAAGAACGTATTGAAACAGGAACACTGAAACACAGTGTTCTCACTGACCATTCAACCCCACACTGACTCAATGTGCAGCTACCTGGGGGTACTGAAATTTGTTTTTGTTGGGAAGTATGGGTAAGAAGAGAGTGACATTTGGATCCTTTCTGCAACTCCAGATTATTTTGGTTCATCTAGTTATCCTTCAGTACATTTTGGAGTTGAACAAAAGTTTTTCACTCTACAGAAGTCTGAAGGTCTTGCAATAGCAATTAATAATTTGGAAGATCAAGGAAATTTACACATCTGACATTTAAATCTGTGCATATATGGCACACAATCTTCTATGTTTTACCTACAATTGTACTCTAGTATTTAAAAATTATTTGCAGGATCCTAGTCATGCACCTGTGTAGGTATTTGCATTTCAGCAAGTGAGCATTTTATTGTCTAGTTTTTATTAGTTTTTTGGGAGGATGGGCAAAAATCCAGTGGCTGTGGTTCTTGACTTGAAAGCTTTAATGTCAATTGAGCAGAAAATGCAAAGTGGTCTAGGATATATAAAAGGCAGAGACTTGCTATTTTTTAGAAAAATTGGTAGAACATATGTTGTTAGATACGTTCAAAGGTCACTCACTCTTACTGATACAAAGAGTTAGACCTCTTATACTACAATATAGTAATCCTGTTATTGAAGTTCTGCAGGAATATATTATAGTTACATAGCTGTTGGTAATGGCAGGAGACTGGGATCAGTAGCTCATTACCTTCTACAAACACAGGATATAATCCTTGCCTCAGAGAGCTTACTATCTTTGCAGACAAAGACAGGCCACGATTAAGATCAGAGGTCACAATACACAAGCGAATAGGACAGAGTGAAGTCCAGATCTAACGTGTAAGCTGGTTAATAGTAAGAGAATCGTTCTGATTTTTCTGTTTTAATACTGATAGGGCATCTAGGATTTCTGTGGTATAATATGACCTTTAGCAAAAGACTCTTGTAGAGGTACATCTATAGGAGAAAAAAAGAAAAGAAAAAAAAAGGACCACTAAAATAGAAAACACTGAGGCATCTCAGGAAAGGGTGGGTCAAACTGAGTTTGAGATAAGCAAGTAAGCGTCAATTCTTTGGTATTCCTGCACATTTCCCAAACAAGAAACCTAGCTTAAGTGTAACTCGTAAGCACGGGGCAGACAACTGCCATATGGATGGAGAAACAGAAACACCTCTGTCTTCACTGCATCTGTGACTTTGGGTGAAACAAAGGCAAAGTCCAGTTGCTACAGAGGTACACCACTGCACCTCTAAGGAGACACAAGTTTTGTGACCTCTAAGGAGACACAAAACCTCTAAAGTTTTGTCACTAACCACGGTAACAAGTAAGTATGGAAAAAAAATGTTTATGTTTGATATGTTCCCGATAACTACAGCCACTACTTGATAAGAAAAAAATGAGCCGCTACTGACTTCCTTTAACAAATCATAACTGAGATAGGTCAGTGGGTATCTGTCTTAAGGTTGAATGTATGTGTATGCCTCTTGGGGCCTGATCCACTGAAGCTCTGTAGACCCCCAACAATCACTCCAACTGTGCTGACCTTGCAAGTTCTCCAGGGATTCATGCTTTGTGCAGCACCTCACCCAGCAAGATCCTCCTCAGAGCTAGGAACTCTTACCCTCTCCTCAAATGTATTTAAACACTAACAGGATGTTGTTTCTACCTTCCCTGAGCACCTCTGCTCTCCCTGACCTGGTATCACAGCATTAGTTTCCTTGAGCAGTATACTCACTGACACACTGTGCAACTCAGCATGGCTCTAGTGAAGTTCACAGAAAGATACTTCTAAGGTCCCAAGTAAACAAAAAGAAAAAAAAAAAAAAAATCGTTGAGGACTTTCATATTTAATAAAGAGAAATTAATGCTGCATGGAGGTGTATAGTCATTATGAGATTCTTGTGTCTCTACTAAATGCAGCAGTCCAAATCACTATTGACACTTACCACAATAACTCAAAGTAAAAATACAATAAAATTACAAAAAAAATGTATTAGGGTTCATTTGTTATTAATATCTATCCACTGGTATTTTATACTGAGCAACACAGAATTGCTATTGACATATATTATCTTTGAAGGTAATACAAAACAAACAAACTAAAGTAGACATTATTAACAGAAATTAAAAGAACAGAGGGAAGTGTAGGGATTATTCCTTCTGCTTTCATATTTAGCAGAGTTTGCCAAAATGATAATTAATTATTCCAACATGCAGCACCATGCTCATTCTGGAGAGCTCCTTTTCCAGGTGAAAACACTGGTGCCTTAAGGAGTATATTAAACATCCCAAATGACAATATGTGACTCCCAGAAGAAAGAAAAAGTAACTGTACCTCATAAATCAGGGGTATTTTAATGTCATTCAGCATAAACAAACAAACAAACAAACAAACAAAAAAGAACTTCTGTTTATCAATCAAACAACATAGCACCCTGACTTTTTCTGTCCAGTGGCAACATTTTAACATAGCTCATCAGCACTTATAGCTTGGGATCTGTTTAAATGTAAAAGTACACGCAGGAATCACAGAAATAGTTATCAGAGATCACAGAGAGCAGACAGCCCATCACTACAAGTAGACTTCCTACTACAAGGAAGAGCCTGTTAAGAGTCGTTCAACAGGCTCTGCACTTGGAAAGTACTGGCAAGCAGCCAGAAACACCACACACTATTTTCCTATAAGCCATATAGGTATAAATCCCTCACAGTGAGGAGCACTGGAGTTTCCCTCAGCATCACATAGATGATTTACATAAGTATTCCCTCATCAATTTGCAAAATCTGGTCTTCTGTGACAGGTTACTAATACTCCTTAAAAGCACTTTTCCTCAGCATGAATATGGTTGTGAAAATCCTAGTAACAACCTTGACTGTATTTCAGCAGGTCTTACCTCTAAGGAGTTGCCACACAAACCAGGGAACATATGGGCTCTATGCATCTCTGTCGCGATGCACTTGTCCTTTTTGCATCATCACTGCAAGCAGCCCAGCCTAAAACTGGCTTCACGGGAGCGCACATGAATAGTCACATCTCCCCCGATTAACTACGTTTTGGCCTGCAGTGTGTGACTGAGCATAAAACCGGGTATCTCTGCAATGTACGCTTACGTTCACTTCAGGAGGCGAACCACTACAGCCCTCCGCCGGGGTTCTCTAGTCCGAAAGGGCAAAACCTCAAACCCACCACGGAAAACGCACAAACTCCGAAACCACGGCACCGAGTTTCGGATTAACCTCAAGACAGTTCGGCGCTGGGGAGAGGAGGAGGCGGCTCGTGGGCAGCCGGCAGAGGCTGCCCCATGGGGCTCCCTCCTTCCCGGCCGCGCTCCAGCGGTCCAGAGACTCGCGGGCTCACCAAGGGCTCCCCGGGGCGGCGGCCCCCGCCGAATACCCGCAGCCCCAGCACCCCCTCGTCCCGGCCCCGCGCCCCCGCAGCGCCCCTACCTCCGCCCGCCGCGCCGCACCGCACCGCACCGCACCGCACCGCACCGCACCGCGCCGCACCGCACCTCGACGCGCCCGGCGCAGCTCCCTGGTTACCGAGCACAACACGCCGCCCCGCCCCGCCGGCCCACGGCGAGGAAGCAGGTGCGGGGGTGGGGAGAGGGCGGGAGCGCGGGTGCGTGTGCGGGGGAGGGTTGGTGCGTGTGCCGTATCCTTGCGGCGCTCCCCAGCCCGCCCCGCCACGGCCGCCTCCAGGCTGCAGCCCGACCCCCCCGCCGTGCCCCGGAGCCCGCTGTCCTTGCGCGCATCGCGGGGGGGCCGCGCCCCGCCCCGCCCCGCCGCTGCTGCAGCAGCAGCAAAGCCGGGGCAGCTTGTCCGGGGGCGGACGCACTGACCGCTGTGCCGGGCAGTCGGGAGATGAGGCGCCGGCCTCGGCCCCGAGCCTCAGCACCCCCCATGTGCGCCCTGGCGAGTAGCCGAAATACTTCTGAGAGCGACTGTGTTGAGCTGTCGCTGCTAATTACTATTACTAGTAATATCACTATTATTATTGCTGCAATATGCAGCGTTCATGTAGGGGCATTACCTTTGGCGTAGGCTCCAGAGCATCATCGCGCAGGGAGCTGCACAAGCAAACTGGGGCACCAGCTCTTACATAACAGCAGCAGGACAGAAATATTCAAAGGATCTAGCAAGACGGTCTGCCACTTTTGAGCTCAAACTACACTAGCCGTGCAGCAGTGTTTATGCCACTAGTATAAAATGTGATCCTGCCTCTTCCAAAGACATTGCACAAACCATATGACCTAATTGGGCTTTTTCCCTCCTTCATTTTGATTCTTACCATTTAAGGCTAGCTTCATGCAGGAGATAGAAAGACATTTTTCTGCTTATGGGGTGGATCATCTCTGGTCTGTGTCACTGGGAAAGAAAAACACTCATTTTGTTGGGAGAAGCAGTGCCAATGAACCTCTTAGTTTTCATCTTTTCTGGCAGTGCTGCAGTGATTCTACAACATTAGCATGCAGGGTGTTTACTGAGTGGACGGATGGAATCTGATTTAGGCAGCAGATATTATTCGGCATCATCCCATCCTGTAGCACTAGCCATGCTAACATTAGTGCTACCCTTGTGGTATGAACACTTACACTTAAGGCACCTATTCTGACACTACAGAGTTATGGATTCCACACTTGGAACCAGGATCTTGTGTGGAAGAAGCAGACATACAAGGAACTACAGCAAAGATTCATGTGAAACTGGGATGTACATATCTAGGTCACCTCCAGCCATCCACAAAAATTACCTCTTCCTGACAATGAGTGTAGCCAGGCATAGTGGACCTGAAATTTTCCTCCTTTGAAGGGTTGCAGGGTTTTTAGGTTGTTTTGGTCTGTAGGTTTTTTTGTTTGCTTGGTTGGTTTTTTTTCCTGCAGGAGGGGAACTGCTTTTTCATCTATTTTCTTTCTTACCCCTTTGTCCTGCTTCTTTGCTCTACCCAATGCCAGTTGCAGCATCAAAGATGGCAAAGGAAGTGGATGCTGACATGCTTGAGTTTCCCCTTTCTACATATATCTTTTCGCTGAATAAATTCCTCACTTTGCTGCCTCTTTCAGAAAATGCTTTTTTATTTTATTTTTCTAGGTTGAGAGTAGGACTATTAACATGAGAGAGAGCATCTTCACTACATAAACTTAGACTTCACATAATAATACTACTATTGTTTGAAGCAGTTCAGCAAAGTACTTGCTAGTGTGAGCTTCCTTAGTTCTCTAAATTTCAGCACTATATGCTGCACTATATGTTTTAAAAGCTCAGCTAAAATCATTGACATATGTTCTGCCTATCAGTTGTAGAAGGAAAAATACAGAATCCTTACTGGTTTTCTGTATAACTATTTTGCCTTTAATAGGCAGAAGATGTGGCTTATTTAAATATCTTCATCTTCATAATTACATGAGAATATAACGACATTCCAGTTCGTCCTATATACAAAATAATCAAATCCACCTGTGAGCAGAGCTTGCGTCTACCTTATACAACAAAGTTCCTCCAAACTAAGATGGCAATTGTAAGCTCCACTGCACTTTTTTCAGATTCTTTTTTGATAGGAATAAAAAATTGTCTTTGCTATCCCAGGAACAAGGCATTACAATTTATCATTATTGCTTTTCTTATTTTGCTTTTAATTGTTAAAAAATCATGATCTGAAACTGTTGCCTCTAGGGCATTTGCAAATAGCTCTTCTGGAAGGAAAGGGGATTAGATTGGCTAATATATAGTGGTTCTAGCAAGGGGTCACCTCACTTTCCATCTATCCTCTGTCAATATGACTGGGAATTTTCAGAAAGCAAAAACAAGAAACATATTCAGTTATTTTTTAGTCATTTAAAATTAATGAATTCCTTACTCCAAATGTATACTTTCACTATTATTTTAAACATGCTTCATTTTAAATAGTCAAATGAAGATTCTTTAATAGATGTTGGCATTGGTTAATTTGAAATGTAAATATTGCTTTCACTGTAGAGATAAGAAAGAAAAGAAAAAATAGTATAGTAACATAGGTCATTAAAGGACTCTTACTGTGATCAAAGCAAATTATTTAGTTTGCAGCACACTTCCAAAAGCACTCTGGTAATGGCCTCATCTCAGGACAGGTGGCAGCCAGATGAACTGCCCTGGTGGACAAGTCTAGCCAAGCACTGAAGGACAGTGTCCCTCTTCCAACAAACACACCATCTCAGTACTCAGGTAGGACATTGCAAACCACAAGGAAATACAGCAAATATCATCAACAATGACTCTGTGCCAAGGACAGCACAGCACCCCTGAGGGCTGCTCCTTGTAGCTGAGACATGAATGAGGTCTTTGGCACTGAAGAATTCTGGGCACTCTTCCTCAAAAGAGAAATACTCCCTGTTAAAGAGGTACAGTAATGTTTCAGTTTGCCTCACTGTTGTATCACTCTCTACCTGATCCACTTGTGGTTGCCAGACTTCAAAAAAGATCTACATCAGGTAGAGACAATCCAGAGGACAGCCGTGGGAATTGTGAAAGATCTAGAATGCTCAATCCAAAAGAAAAGACTGAAATAGCTGTTTAATCTAGAGATTAGAAAGTGGTGGGATATATAAAAACATTCAAAACCATAAAGGAGCACTGCAAAGGGAAGGGAATAGTCACTTCCCCAGGATCCACAGTGCATAGAACAAGAAGTAATGTGCATACATTGCAACAGGTGATACTGTCATATCAGAACCAAAGGTTTTTGGAGGAAATAAAGCTTTGCACTACATACCACATAAGGAGGAAGTGAAATTTGAATCTTAAATGTGCGTTTTAAAGCACAGCCTAGACAAGTGTCTTCCTGGAGGGCATTTTTAATTTTTGATACTTTGTTAGGGTGCAGAACAGGATATATCTTTAAGTGTCTTGGTCTCAATTTTGAGTCCATTTGCTGCAACTGTGAATGCTGAGACTGGTTTGAGCAACAGAACATACCCTTATTTCTGCAGGTTATGCAGCAAGCACTAGTTGCCACTTCCTTCCTGTCACAAACTGCCACACAGTATCTATGTGCAACCTTGAAGCATTGCCACACATCTCCTTAGAGATGTGTGCAGTTCTACATCTGCTTTGCATGTACTGTACCAAGCATTAATGTATAAACATTGTATAAACATAGAATCAAAAAATCATTTAATCTGGACAAAGACTTGTAAAATCATCAAGTCCAACTGTTAACACAGCACTTCCAAGTCCACCACTACACTGTGTTCCTAAGCATCACACCTATACATCTTTTAAATACTTCCAAGGATGGGGACTCAATCACTTTGCTGAGCAGCCAGTTCCAGTTCATGACAACCCTTACCATGAGGAATTTTTTCTTAATATCCAATCTAAATGTCCCCTGGGTCAACTTGAGGCCATTTGCTCTTGTACAATCACTTATTACTAGGCAGAAGAGACTGACCACACCTTGCTGCAACCTCCTTTCAGGCAGCTGTAGAGAGAAATATGGTCTCTCCTGAGCCTCCTTTTCTTCAAGCTAAACAACCCCAGCTCCCTCAGCCACTCCTCATAAGACTTATGCTCCAGAGCCTTCATCAGCTTTGTTGGACACACTCCAACACCTCAGTGTCTTTTTTTAGTGAGAGGCCCAAAATGGCTTTCAAGGCACGTCCTCGCCAGTACCAAGTACAGGGCGACAATCACTGCCCTAGTCCTGCTGGCCACATTATTTCTGATAGAGGCCAAGATGCCATTGGCCTTCTTGGCCACCTGGGCACACTGCTGACTCAAGTTCAGTGGCTGTTGACCAACAGCTCCAGGTCCTTTTCCACTGAGCACCTTTCCAGCCACTCTGCCCCAAGCCTGTAGTGCTGCATGAGGTTGTAGTAACCCAAGTGCAGGACCTCATACAATTGGCCTTGGGCCACCAATCCAGCCTGCCCAGATCCCTCTTCAGAGCCTTCTTACCCTCCAGCAAATCAACACTCCTGCCCAACCAGGTGTCACCTGCAAACTGACTGAGGGTACACTTGATCCCCTCATCCAGATCAGTGATAAAGATATTAAATAAAGAACTGGCCCCAGTACTGAGCTGTGGGGAACACCACCTGTGGAACTGTTTTTTTTCCCGAGTTCAAGCCAAAGATCTCTGTTCAGCCAGGCCAGTCTTTCCTACTGGCTTGTCTTTCTGCACATCAGGACAGCCTGCTCCTGTGTGTTTAAGATTTCCTTCCTGAAGAATGTCCAGCCTTCCTGGACTCCTTTGCCCTCCAGGATTGCCTCCCAATGGACTCTGTCAACCAGTCTCCTAAACAGGCTGAAGTCTGCCCTGCAGAAGTCCAAGGTAGTTGAAATCTGTCCTTATTTCTCCAAGAATCAATAAGCTGTAAAATTGCATGATATTTTTTCTGCATAAAGGTCTTGTATATTGTATGAAAAGATGTTTATATGTGTTCATGTTTTATATTTTAATGTAACAAAAACTGAGTAAGTAAACTTTGACAATAAATTAAAGATACAATTAGAAGCCAGAGAATATATTCCCTCTAACGTGAATTATACTGAATTACATGAAGTATAACAACAGACCATCTAACTTTCCTTGCATCATGATGAAATAAATTAATATAATAGCATGAGATTACACAAACTGATGTGGGAGTAGAAAAAAAAATCAGGAAAAAATAATCTCCTAAACTAGCATATGATACCATGGTATATATGTTCTTGAAAGTGAAGTTATCAAAATTATAAAAGCTTAAAGATGCCCAATTAAGATTTATATATACTGAATGAGCTCAGTGACATTTATTTCTAGCCATTTCAAATGACATTTATTTCTAGTGTTATTCACCCGATTATTGTCAAGAAAGTAATTATATTCTTTTAAAATGTGTTGTTTTGACAATTTTTCCTTGTTTATGCTTCACAAGTTACACTAAATTGGAAAAAAATTCTAAAAACTCAAATTCCTATACAGGAACGAAAAGTGGAAACCCCAGTATTCTCTAAAACAGGACTAAAAGGTGATTATTTGAAGGTCATAATCAAGCAGAAGTACTGCCAATTTAAAAATTCTGTTAGAAACTGCC